TGTCGTATTGGTTGTATCAAAAAATCGTTCGATACATAAAGTTTTATTAAATTGATTATTTTGTATTACAAGGTAAAATACATGAAGGTCATTTGTCAACACACTTTTTATTATCGATGAGCAATGTATTCAATTTTATATAATAAAAATATTTTTAATAAAAGATCCTGTTTTAATTATTGGGGTAGCCTCTTATGAAGTCCACAATGATTTTCAAACACATGAATTCCTGAATAATATCGGTTTTCATAAATATTTCTATACAGATAAAAACAAAAAAAAGACACAAATAAGGCTGCTACAATAAATATATATACTAGAAGAATTACGTAGGATAGAACATCGTTTGTTATGCATTTTTATCAAATTTTTCAAATTTTTATTTGTCTTTCGCTATAAGAGAAGAAAAGACATTTTTCTGAGACGATCCAAGACTCATGGATCACCCTTTCACTCAAACACAACGACATCTATGACGAAAAAAGAAAAACTCAGTTTCGTATTATAAATGAATAAAAGATAAAAATATGCTTTCGTTTCATTTCTTTGGCTCGTTCTCATATGAAGATAAGTAAAAGAAAACAATAACACCTACAAAGACCACAGTTTGTTTCACAATAGTTTTGGTACTACCCGCAGTTTTCTAAAGATAGTGTGTATATAAATGTATCATCATTTACGTTTTTTCTTTGTTATTATAATCATTGATCTTTCAATACACACCACAACAACTTTCAATTTCACCGAACTTAACAATTTTATTCAATCAGAATCGATTACTGATGAGCGAATTGAGTTAGAAAAATCATTTATAAATAGTTTATCATCATCATCTCAGATCTGTTTGTCATCGGCTAATAACATAAATACAATCCATTCCAATAGTACATTTACATTACTTGTTAAATGTAATTTTGGCAAAGAAAAATCATTTGAAATTGAAACAAATTTAAATACATACATATACGAATTGAAACAAACTATTCAACAACGAACTGGACATCCTCACGATCAACAACGATTAGAATTTACTTCACGTTCGTATTTCGAATTACATCGAAATCTACAAGACACTCATAAATTAGGTGATTATATTACTATTGAGAATAACACATGTAAATATATTCTAAGAGTTTATAAACGAAAAGAAAATAAACATTTAATATTTAATTCAATTCCAAATGTAACCCATTATGAATATGTTATGATGAGTTCTCATGTTTATCAACCAAATGAATCATTTCTTGATGGTTGGCATGTTAAACAATTCAATTTACCAAACAAAAATGGTTTATCTCTTGTTGCTTATATTAATCCTGAACGTCATCAATGTGTTATATCAATTCGAGGGACTGATTTAACATCAAGTTTATTCAATAATCCTATAACTGATCTACGTTTATTATTTACTAATCAAGCAATAGATACATTTGATTCAGCTCGTTTATTATTATTTTATGATAAATTATTACATATTCCACGTCAAAATGGAATTCCATATGTAGTATCTTTCACAGGACATAGTTTAGGAGCAGCACTTGCTGAAAGTTTTGCTTGTGTTTATAATGGTTATGCAGTAACATTTGATTCTCCAGGAACAAAACATATTTTACATAATGATCCATCATGTCGAACGAATATAGAACTTGGTTACAATCTAACCGAACATATTCACAATTATTTAGGTGCTTATGCAAATGTAGTTAATGTTGCTAATCCACAATCGGGTCGAGTTATTTATCTTAAACAATTTGGTACTGGTAATGATACGAGACCAGCAGAGTTTTTCTATATTTATTCTTCAGCAGCTGGTGTTTATATGGCTGCATGTATATTTGCAAATATTATCGATAAAAATATGTTTAAATTAGGTCTATGGTTTACTATTGGATATTGTATTCAGAAATCTTCTATTGTTTATTCTTTGAGTAATTTATTTAATTTGAATATTGTTAATACATTGAATTATTTTATTAATGAGTTACCATTTATCATCACAGTTTGTCTTCTATTTCAATCAGTTAGTACATTAGCTGATGCAATAGAACACCGAATAGATCAAATATGGAAATATCTTTCATTGAAAAATATACCATTAATAGGTAGAATTATTATTTTCATTGAACAAAATATCAATTTTACTCGTGTTATTTGGCGATTTATACTATTGTACATATATCTTATTCTATCATTTTTCATAAGTATTGGTATTCCAATAATCTGTTATATGTGGTGGTTATTATCAGCTCATTCGATAAATAAATTTGTTGATTCATTTAATCCAGAAAATGGAATACCTTATCAAGGAGAAATGATTGAACCAATATTATGGCCATCATTATTCGATTATATTACAAAAACAGCATCGAAACAATTTCTTCTCTTCATATTACTCATTCAAAGTATGAAATTAGTGGCTTTTTATTTATTTCCTCAATCTTTTCCTCGATGGTTTCGAATCAATTTGATTTTATTATTATTCGCTATGTTTTTTAATATTGATTCAATAGAATATTTAATGTTCATGTTTATTCTATTTTTATTTATGCTTTTTCCAGCAACTCAACAAGACAATCCGCATTATACAAGGAATATAGTATGTGCTATATCGGGTTTATTAGCTATCATGCAATTTATACATGAAAGACATCATATAAATAAATTTTATTATGAAATAGTCAGTTTTTGTTCGTTATTATTGATACCATTTGTTAAAAAATTTCTATGTTATTTCTCAATTTATCGAAAACAACTGATTTAAATATAATTAACGTTCTTACCCACATTCATACGTATCCTGAATGACTTGTCATTGGAGATGATAATAATGTTATGATGGGTCTTGCTGGAAAACGTCGAAAGAGAAAAATTTAGAAAAAATAACAAAAGAGGAAAACGTCGAAATGATTAATAAATTTTTTTTATGCATGTTAAGTAGTATATTTATTAGTTTATAAGAAAAGAGACAGCTAATATTCGTGCTTTCATTTTATTACGTAAAATTTTTACTGCTATTTGATCTGGATTTACAGAATGAGTATGTGTACCATTAACCCTTCTAATACCATACTAAAGAAATTTTATGGAATTTAAAATGAGCTTTTTTCAGGAAGAAGAAAACGTTTTTTCTAAAGAAAAAATGGAGTTTTGATGACAAGGATGTATGTGGTACATAAAAGAGCTTAAAAAATTTACACCGTAAAAACTTGATGTCGATTAGTTGAGTTTTTTGCCAAAAAATAATAATTGTCTATGGGTATGGACAAAAATGTCCAAGCATGGTATTAGAAGGGTTAATACGTGTAAATTGACCTGTTAAACTCATATGTATGTACGCACTGCATCCTCGTTCAACACATAACTAATATTTTGTCTCATTGTTTTCTTTATTAAAATTGAATATGGCATTTTCATATATTAATTGTGGTTCACCGTTGTTCGATAAGGTAAATAATACTTCAGATTGGTGAATTTTAAGTGAACTAATTTTAGGTTCTATGTTCGTTGCCATTTAAATTATATGTATATTTATAATACGAGAAAATTTTCTTTGTTAAACGAAAATTAGAATATACTAGTATCAGGAGTGACCAATAAGAAGGAAAACAATTAAATTTTTTGTACTGTAGTCTTTTAAAGTTTCGACGTTTTCCTACAACCCCGATTTGATGCATATATAATTTTTTTGATGGGATCGTTTATACCATTGTATCACATATAAAAGACATGGCCTGTTATACTGACAAAAAAATATATTCTTTATTTTATTTCTAGATTATAGAAAACGATGAAAAAACGCGACAATATTTTGTTGAATACGAAGACATAACGTCCAAAATTCTTTTCGAAATGTAACCGACGCCAGTGTGTATATATAGAATGATATCTATTTGAAAGAAAAAACAAATAAAAGAATATTTTTCAATAAAACAATTTCTTAAACATACCGCACAATGCGTGTAAAGTAAACTCGATGCGACATAATTGAAAAAATTATCAATAGTTATTTGATCATTTGTTTTTTGATTAGTTTTTGTTATAAATGAATATAATGTATAGATTGTATTTGGAAGATTTAATAAAATAAAAAAAATTACTTGAATTATATTTAATTTAATTAATTGAAGATTTCTATTTGATAATCTTTCATCTAGATCATTCATGGTATTTTGAGAATTCGACTGATGATTATTTCTCTCAACTGGATGTACAATTGGATTTCGTTTATTTCCTACTCTTTTTTTTATAATAATACGATGTAAAGTTAATGTTGTAAATAAAATTATGATAATAAATGGAATAATTGAAAAACTAAGATTAGTAATTAAATAAAATGTGGAATAAAATCCATCTGATGATGGAACACAACCACTGATTTCTATACGAAATCCAATGCCGACATGAAGATGAAATAAAAGCCAAAGAATTGTACTAACAAGAATTATTCGTCGAATAGTTTTCACATTACTTAAACGACGAGTTCGTGCATTTAATGATGTAATTAACCATCGATCAATACATATTAAACATAGATAAAAACGAGATAGTACAACACCAGCTACAAAAAAATAAACACGACATTTACAGAAAAATAATGAAAAATGACTCAAGTCAAATCCACTTAATGTAATTACTATACGAACAATACAACCAAAACAAAGAACAAATATATGAATCAATGAAACAATAACAAAATATAATGAACATCCATTATTTTTCAATCGACCTTGAGAAAATACTATCATATTAGTTATATTACCTATGATACCTAATATAAATACTGGTATTAAGCAATATCCATTAACATATACTAAACTTGCTCGTAATTGACTTGCTAATGTCGACATTATAATGATCAACAGAACTTTTTTTGTATTTGAATTAAGTTGTAGAATTATAATATTTCTCTATAATTTATTTTATCTAATTATAAACAGTGAGAGAGAAAAAACAAAGAATATATTCGTGCGTATAATCTCTTACCTTGTTTGATTAATCACCTACATGACTGTAATTACGTATAAATCTAATTATATAGTTCCGGAAATAATTGCAGATTATGAAGATCAGTGAACTAATTCAATCTTGTTAATATGTGAATAGTTTCGAAAAAATAACTCATGATATTCTTCTAGTTTGTTCGAAAAAGTGCATTAGAAACCATTTGAGAAAGAGATGGATACTATAATAAATCAATGTATAGAATTGTTTTTTTTTATATAAAAATGAAAACATTCATTTTCTTGTTTGCTATGGATATTTTGAATTTCTACTAAGTAAATTCTATGCGAGAAGTAAATAATTGAAAAATAAAAATAGAATCTCGTTTTCTCTTTGAAATCATCTATTATAAAAATAACATGTCCTATGAGTATATTTCTTTTGTTGATTATATATTGCGTATTTACTTTGAATACGGCACTTAATTGATACATATATACATAATATATAAATTTCAAAGTATGTATGTCATTCCTTGACAGAAATAGGTTAGTATATATGCGCAAAGGTCAAAAAGATATTCACATCAATTCAGAATCATTGATGCTACAAATATGTAAATCACCATAAGAGCAACATTCAAAATCATTTCATGCATCATCATTGTCTACACATAAAATATTGTTTTGATACTTATTATTTTATGATGTCTTAAAAGAATATTTTCTTCATCTTAAGTTTTATAAACAAGATGAAATCAAAAATATACAATTTTATTTAAGATTCTAAATAAGAAAGGAGGGGGGACCTTTTATACTAGAAATTGATTCTAGTCTTATACGCTCCCCTCCTTTAGAAACACAAATTGAAAAAAAAATTCTATAATGTATAAAAAAAAAGTAAAAAATAAAAAAAAGATAAGTGAAATTTTTATTATAATTGTTAATATAGTACATATTGCCCTATACAATCAGCCTTTGCAAATATTCACATAAACAGATAAAGTGTCAGTTTTAGAGTTAGTCACAGCTAAATCCGGTCTATTATCCTTATTGAGATCACCAACTAACACGGAAGTCGGATTAGCACCTGTCTTATAGGTGCGTTGAGCTTGAAATTTTCCATTTCCAATACCGAGTAAGACGCTGATAGTATCACTATCACCATTGACTACTACTAAATCTATATTTGTATCATTATTAAAATCACCAACTGATACATACATTGGACCTTTTCCAACTGCATAATTTGTTGCATTACTAAAATTTCCATTGCCAATATTGAGTAAAACACTAACATTATTCGAACCAGAGTTAGCAATTACCAAATCAGTATTGTTGTCATTATTAAAATCACCTATTGTTAGAAAATTTGGGGTTCTACCGACTTTGTAGTCTTTTGAATATATGAATGTGCCACTCCCATTATTAAAAAATATACTAACTGTATTGTTTC